TAATCTGAAATCGATTGTAAACGCCGCTCAAAGGAATCTATAGAATAATCCTTGCTACATCTTCACATTAGTCTTCAGATCAGTACGCGACGTCATATTGGTATGCGCAAACCGGCTATAGAATCTCAGAAAATAACGGCGATAACGATGTTACCGAGGCCGCCAAAGAAGAAAAGACTTTCACCTTAGAATCCTTAGAGGCCCATGAGATTCCGGTTCAAAATGCTATTGAGCTGAAGCTGTCTGATTTTAAGCAAGTATTTATGTGCCACAATATCGACTCTGGATTTTCGGGCAGTGTCCTTTGGTGCTGTAATAGTACTTTGGCTTTGAGCGTGCTAGGTGATCCAATGGGTGTGGTAATATAAGACGGACACTGTGCATTTCTAGCAAAGAACATGGTTATCTGTAGGTTGAACACAGAAAAACAAGGCGGACAGATGGCAGGCAGTCAAGCTAACAAAAAGTAGGCCCATCTCAAGTTCTTCTTGGTGTTGGATATACCCGTAGAAACTTAATATACCACAAGTGTTGTGGGGTATAAAAAGTTAATGAATTAAGACCTAAATTGATTTTCTCAGAAAACCTGACGTCATTAATGGCCTTCTTGCAACGACAGTTGGACGACAAGGACAGATGTTCGTTCCAAGTATCCGCTCTTCAATTAAACGGATCGTTTTCTTTTCGGATTGGCAATAGGTCGAATCGGCGTTTACCAAACGGATGAGCTTAAATTAGTCACGCCAGTTATGCCAATATGTCGGATGAGGCACAAGACAAATTTTGTATTTTAGGAGGAATATTTGACGATTGTAGAGTTTTCTTATTTTTACGCTTGTACCAGTTATACAGATAATATATGCAATCTGATAATTTCATATTGTAAGCAGTAAGTAGGTCCATATTTTTTGCGCCTTTCCTTCTTCTTCTGAAGCAAGAATTAATTTGAAGCAATAAGTCACCGTTTTCACACACTTAACATATAAGCCTAATTGTTATGGGCTTCATATATTTTGGTTAGCTCACAAATTAAGTAGAGCGCCTCGCACTGAAAGAGGACGCTGATGCTTGTCAACAGGGACAGAAGTAATTTATAACAAAATAATTCCAAATAACAGTATACAGGTAACAAAAATATATATTCGTATATTCGTGTATATGCCTGAACCATTCGATAAAGCGAATATATCTTCCAAGCTTTAAAACTAGAATAAAGTTATTGAACATCTCGCAAATATTGCTGCGACATTGTTGCCAAAAGTTGTATGCACAGTTTGCAAAAGTAATTTTCAGCTGGAAACGTTGGAAGCATAGAAAAAAATATGCATAAAGGCCATTACAGCATCAGTTAAAGGATATGTGGTAAACATTTGGAAAAAAAGCCAAACATTGCTGATGTTACTACCAACAACTCCAGTATACCGCAAAGACTACTGTAATCTTAGTATTGTAAATTTACTTTTGTTTTGCAGTAAACATATGGCGTTGAACGAACCGCATTTTGGCTTAACCAAGTGATTACACATATGATACAGTTTATTTCATACTCTCATTCATCTCAACGGCGCATTTTTGGCATTTGATGTGACCTATGTCAGTCACTATACATAAACGAGTAAATAGATTTTTGGTGCGTAGGTATGCTCTACCGAGGCAGAGAGTCGTGTCTGTACAAGTTGTGTGATGGGGAATGTTGTAATATGTTCAAGGGCTATATTTTTTCTGTTGAGTGAAGCGGTATTCTTTGCGAACAAGTGCGGTGTGTGCGACAAGTTCATAGGATTTGTTAGCTTTAATCGCCTGTACTGCTTTGTTGTCGCTGCTTTTATTATGTTCAGTTTTTGTTTTTTATTTACCATCGCATTCGCGACCATTGTCCTTTGATGATGGACACAATCGCACACACAAACGTGCGAATGTTTTCATTCCCTCTCATTTATTTTACTGACCATTTGCTGAATTTTACTTTTATTCTTTGTTGGCAATGTACGCATGTGGTTGTAAATATGTATGCCTGAGTTTGTGATTAATAATTGAAAGTATTTAAATGGACACTTGGTCATATTGAGTCATTATTTATGAGCTTTGGGAGTAATGTTCTTTTTTTTTTTTGTAACTGTCTACAAAGCAGTTTTTTTATTGCGTCTCGCCGCACACGTACATACAAATAGTGCTTCATATTGAAGTTTCTACTAAAGCTTTCTAAATAAGCAGGGACTATGTGCGCGCATGTGTATGTAAGCGTGGGTACGTGTGTGTGCATGTATTTGTGCAAGCAATTTTACAAAGGATTAGTAACTAAATGGTATGGAAAATAAAAAGTTTCTTAACGCATTATAAAAATTCAAATGCCTGAAGAATCTGTAAATAGAATATAGCTCTTGCTGTTGCTTTCAGTGTTTTAAAATTTCATATTTAAGTAGTTTCATAAGTTTACTCTGCTGCATACGTAACGTATTTATTTTTTTCGATTTTTTTGTCTCAAGTGTAAATAAGCAGTGGAAGCGTCTGGACTGAAATGGAAGTCATGTTTAGGTACTGTTGTATATGAATTCAATTGCAAACAAAGGAAAATGAAAATGCAAATTAAAACTCGTTGAGGTTGACAGGGATTGATAGAAAAATTACATAATAGTTTACTACCATGTCAGAGAAAAAACGAAATGAACAAATTGTTAGAAATAAAAAGCATTACAAAGTCTGTATAAACAATCAAATATTATGAAATGACAATGTTTTCAGAAAAATCTCAACGATTTTTTCTGCAGTCGCAATATTGCGGACAGGGCCGTAAGTTAGTTACATGTCTTGTATTTGTTGGCTTCGAGTTTTTCCTTCGTATTTGGCTAGTGATAATGAGCTATTTTCCTGATGAGGCAATTAGGCGTTCAGAATTTTGAATTCTGTGAGGAAGGACCAAGAAGATAATGGAAAGGCTGTTCGATCCAAGATAGAAGAAAAAAATTTCAGCTTAATAAAAATCAAATGTTCAATTTTGAATTTAAATAAAAAATCAAAAGCGTGTTAGCAATAGCGATATTGCGCCTTTCAAGTAATCAGAAAATTGTAATTTCTTATGATTTTTGTTACTTCAATACTTAGCAACCCGCAATAGAAGAAAAATAACAGAACAAGTGGTGGTTTATTTAAAAAAAAAATGGAGGAAAATCTTTCATATTTATGAACTCATCCATATAAATATATACTTTTCAGATTATAGACAAGCAGAAATAAAATCATTACAACTACTTGGATACAATTCAAATGAAATTAACGTTTAACAAGGAAATAACAAATGACGAAAATTTTCTCTCATCCTTGTCGAAATGCGCTGGCAAGTTGTAACTACGCAAAAGTCTGATTAGCCAGCTCCAAAGGAAGTTAAAATGATTGATAGAAACCTCATTTGATATAAGAATACGTTGGGTGAAAAATCCTACGTACGACACAAAAGCTTCCATTCAAAATAAAACGGTAAACGCCTTGTTTATGACAAATAAGGGAGAAAGATTGCAGAATAAATCAAAACATTTACCTAAAAATTAATATGAAGCAAATAATATTTATTTCTTAGTCAAGGTGTGTAGGAAGGTAGCATGTTACAGACATAATAGATATATATATATATAGAGTTTAAATTTTGCTTCCATTCCATGCGAAAACGTTTGTAAGCATGTTGTCCTGACTAGTAGAAATGCTTTCAAAAATCGGAAACCGGATATGGGAACGGATGCTTTTTACAAGCATATCAGAGCGCAAAAATCAAAAATTACTGTTTAACCATTTATATGTAATAAATAAAAAGGGAAAACATTAAATTAGTGCTCGAATGTGAGAGGAGAACATCATTTTAATAAGAGAGCCAGATGAAATATAAGAGAATACATGGCATCAATGAAAAACATGTTTGGGGTTGAGTAGATGGGTAAGAGTTTTTCTTTTTTTTCAATTTTTAAAAGCAACAATTTGTCTGAGAGCAGAGGAAGTGCTTCAGCACAACGAGAGTAAATCTGTTTGAGAGAAGAAAGATGAATGAATATGTAAGATTGAAATCCTGGCGTTGCCGGATATTTTTATAGAATCACTTCAATTAGTAGTTACTTATTCTCTTAAAGACAAAAAGGATAAGTGAACATCTATAAATAAAGTCTTAATCCCTGAAGTAAAATATACTATAGAAATTTGTGTGTTCTGAAGTTTAATGTATTATAGAGGAAAAGGTTTCTGTTCGTTGGCTTTGAATTTTATAATATACGACGATCCTATGTGATACATTTTCAACATATTTCGGTAGATAGCTCTAGGCTAACAGAATTTTTTATTTATTTTTTTATTTAGATGTTGCATTGAATTGATGATTTGTTAGAGTATGCAGCAAGAAATATCTGTGTCTGGCAGGTTTGTTTTTGCTATTTACTTATGTTGTGTTGTGTGGGGAGGAAAGTTGAAATCGGAACACAAGCAGTTGCAATACGAACGTCCAAGTGACAAAATGTATCTTTCCATTAACGGACGTTAAATTCAAAACGTGTGCGATGAAGGTGCGGTTTACTTCAATTGATGAAAACATAGAGTGAATAATACAAACGTGTCTTTTACATAAGGCAAAATTGAGAGACATACTCTCGCAAATTTATTATTACATGTGGAGAAGGGAGAAAATGTCTTTGCCTCCGACTTAACAATAAATGTAGCAACCAGCGATTAAGCAAGCAATCCCAACAGCAACGACAACAACGATAGTAGTGGTGACGACAACGGGTTCTGAATTTGTATAAAAATTTAGTTGCACGGTGACTTTCGTGAAAAGCGGGTGTCTTTATTTCGCGTGTTAGCTACTTCGGCATTAAAAAAAATTTAAAAAAAAATAGAATATCGTGAGCGTTTTCGTATAAAAAACAAAATGGTTAATGTGTGTGGGTGGAAAGTTGAGAAAGAAAAGTTAAAGTAAAGAAATAAAGCTTTAAAATAAAAAAGAATAAAAAAAAAATTGAATAAAATCTTGTTTATAAAGAAGCCTTGGAAAATTTTTTTTGTGGATGTAAGCGAAATATAAAATGAATGTTTTTATTTGCCAAAATATCCAAAACAGGGTGGATTACATTAACAACGAACGAATCGGGTAAGAAAATAAAGCAAGCTATTGTAAAATACTACAATAAAAACATAAAAAAAACCAACGGAAAAAAGCAAAGAACATAAAAGGAAAGTACAGCAAAGTAGAGAAACATTTTATGAACATAAAATGCTACGTGCTAAGGCAAGGCGAAAAGGGCGGTGAGCTAAACTCTAAGAAATTGCTAAAATTATATGTGCCTACGTGTACGGATCTACATATGTCATTTACAATTCAAAATACTATTGGTTTTTAAGTTGTGCCGGGTAGTAAAAATTGGTGTTCACTTACCCAAAGACTAAGAGGGTGGTAGCAGATTTTGTTTAATTTCTTCATTTTCTGGGATATTCTAGTTACTAACTTCTTGACTATGTCATTGAGAAGAATGAACCACGAGCGAATGTACACCTATATATGTGTATCATATCATATCATATACATTCACTAGAAAATTTTTTGAACCGTCAATGTCTTTATAACAAGCACATGCTCAATAGCATTCCATTCAGTTCTTTAAATAAGTGCCACTGGCCGTTTTGTTTTTACAGCACTGCTATTTTTCGTTATTGTGATCATCATCATCGCATCATAATCGTCAATTTCATTCTCGTCTTCAGCATGTTGCATATTCTATATTTAACATGAGCTCTTACTCGTTTACGTGGTTCATTCTGTCGTTTTTATTCTTTTTGCTCATACTTAAGCAACACTTCACCAAAAATTGAAAAAAGGCATCAAGCAGCAGCCAGCACTTGAACACTAGCAACATACCAATAACAAAAATAACAATAACAGCTACGTATGTAGCATCAACTTCAATTTCAGCGTCAGCAGTTGCTCTAGTGGCTGACAATAGGTTTTCTTTCTCAATGAATTTCTCAACTTCGGGCTGTTGCTGTTGTTATTATTGCTGTTGCTATTAAAACGGACATTGTGAACGTATATTTATGTGGGTATATACTTGCTGCATATTTTAAGGTTTTCGCGTCGTTCATTGCAATTTTTTTTTCGAACGGTCGGTGTGGGCGCATTTGGTATTTGCATTGCGCACTCACTTGATCATAAAAAAAAAAGAAATCACAAGATGTTATTTGTTTGGTCGGGAGTTAGCGTTCTTGGTGTTGGTGTTGGTGTCGCTGTTACCGGTTTTTAGGGGTTTCTATAATTCCATACACTTCACTTACACTTATTTACTATGAATATTGAACGAGTCCAATGTTTTCGAGTGCTCTTGAAACACTTCAAAATTTACTCCATCCAAAAAATTTCATACTTTAATAAATATAAGAGAGAAGACTTAAAAAGCGTATATTTTATTATTTGTATTTTTTGGATATTCCCCTCAATCAAAGAAAAATCAGGTTTGCCATGCGCCATCGTCTTCACGGATGATGCTCATGGTGCTTTCATTTAGCGATTTTAAAGATAATATTAATTCACTTTTCGAAACCCCCCCCCAATATAAAAGGAAGTAAAAAGACCACTTCGGGCGACACAAATCATAATCGATTTTCCTGATAAACTCGAAAATTTCTAATCTTTTTACGTAACGATAAATTTTTACTGCTGAGGTTATATGGACGAGGGGATTCAGAACGTGAAGTGACATGATTGACATTTAGCAAAATGAATTTTTCCCGAAAATCTTATTGTATTTATCTTCATCTATTTTCTTCATACGCTTTTCGCTTTTTTGCTATATAAGAAATTCTGTGTCATGAGAACGTTTATATTGGGCGATGTCCAGAAAACAGGCCCCATTTTGCTACACGCATGCGCAAAAACTTAGTACGTCCTGCATCACAATAAAATTAAGCATTAGCTGTCAGCAATGAAATGTGCATGAAATTTACAAGTAAAAGTAAAGTTGCGACCTGCTAACATTCTTTAAGCTGTAGTGTGCTCAGTATCGGAAAATCTGTGAATAGGAAATTATTGTCTATATAGTTTTGGTTCGTAGATCTTTCCGTTTGTATAAGGGAGACGATCGCGTGAATATTTAACTCGTTCTATCGCAAACAACTGGACGTTTCACATTGTCATTGGTTTAGTCAAGAGGCAGACGGTATAGTAAACCGCGAGCAAGAGGTGTATGCATATTTGAGGGATTTTCTGAGGAAACAATCTAGCAGATGCAAGATGTCATCTTGAAGAGGCAATATAATGATAAAAAAAGGGAAGGTCTATTATGTAGACGTGACTAATGAGCTTTTTCTAACGGAGCTATTTAGCTAATGCTTGAACATAATCTAAGCAAAATAAAGGAGAAGAATGTAAGATCGGCATTAGTATTCTACTTTTATGAAGTGGTGGGCGTTTATAAAAAAGCTTATACGAAAGCACAAATATATATGGCCAAGTGGATTCCGCTTTCCCGTTATTCGGGAAATATATATTTAAGAGTCATTATTGCAGTCACAATTAACAAAAACTCAAAACACTTCGATATACTGGGCGACATTAAAACTTACAAAATATTTTTGGATATGTATTATGTTTCTTGAAAAAAAACAGGGCAAGAAAACATATTTCATTTCATCGCCGTTAATATTTATCGCGATTATAGCGTCTTCTAGCGTTTTCTAAGAAGTCAGCCGATAGATTTTCTCACATCTGATTCAGTTGGTAATTATAATAAATAATTTAGTTTTCCAAAGGGAGCTTGAGGACGTAATTAGTGATTAGTTAGTTGGTTTTTTGAAGCTCGATGTCTATTAAAATTCTATCCACATCCTGACATATATCTTTTTCATATAAAAATATGCCTTCAAACTTGCTTTTTGAAATTTAAATTGATCTACAGCTTCCGATGATTCGTTACCGTTATCGTGAAGTGATTGGGGTAAGAAATAAACGCCTTCACAATTTCTTTCGTACCAAGGCCTGAAATGAGTTATTCAAAATTTTACATATTTAAGCAATGGAACAAGTGGCTTCCATCAATGGCTTATAAGTTGGCGTGGTGTTAAACAAAGACCCAATTGCTGTAGTTTTCTTCCTTGCTATTCATTCTAAAATTCTTGAATAAAGTGATTTTAATTAACACAAAAGCGTTGAGCAATGACTATGATGAAGTACTTAACTTTACAAATTCTGGAGAATATTAAATATACAAATAAGCTGAACACAGTTAAATCGTCTTTTAAAATCTATGTACATTCCTGTGTAATAATTAGAGATAGATATATAAACGAATAGTTTTAAGTTTATCCAACATATTTGATATTTTTGCAAATAGTTAATTAAAATGTAAAAATTGTTTGCTTACTGGAAGACACGCGAACTTAATCTTCCTCTTCTAGCCAGATTAAATAAAATTTCATTGATTTTGTTAGAAATTTATGGTAATAATGCGAGTTTTACACACAAAAGAGCATGGAATTAAGTTTCCACTTGACAAAAATGAAAAGATTATTATATTTTCTTATCTCTGCCACGACGATTTTGAGCATAGAGAGTGGGATGGGTATGAGCGTAATGAAAGAATTTTTTATTTTAATTTTTATCTGTTTGTTTGTTTGTTTGTTTGCTAGTAAAGCATCATTAAAAAGACTTTAATGAAGTGCTTGAATGACTGTAATTTGTTTTTTTTCCACTCACATACCTTCAGATAATAGAGATGCCCCCGTTCTCTTAGTCTGCCGGTGGTGGTTGTCATCTGTTTCGTCAGCGAGTCAACGTCCTGCTCTCCTTCGGAGAAGAGCATTTGATGCTTGAAGTATTTTGAGTCTCTGCTATCACAGTGACTTAATTTCAAAAGTCAATTACATGGATGAAAATTCATTTTTTTTTTTGCCTTTCATTCATTCACTTACTTTTCTCTTCTCTTCTTCTTTCTTTCTACTCTTATAATATTCATTTTTTTCATGTATTTTATTGTTCAAGAAAAATGGGGGGAAGAAATGAATTAAAGAAAGCACATAAATGTATAAAAAGCGTAAGTAGGTAAATATTTAAAGAGAAGGTTTTAGATTGTTCCCTAAAATACATTCGGCTTTACTTACATGCAGACCTTCAAGGTGGAATAATTAATTTTATTTTTTCTCTTATAAATAAGAAAGGCTTTCTATTAAGAAGAGCTTGAACAAGGACATCAGCAACATTTGCGAACACGCAACTTAAGATAGCATTTTAAATTATAGATAATCGAACTTTTTTTTTTGAGGACAGAAAGATCGGCCGTGTATTATGTCTTGGAATGTGTCTGCTTTGTGAAACAAAATTAAAGGGTAAGGAGTTTCCAGTTATGTTTTTTGTATATTTCGTAGCCTTTTTTTTCCAAGTTAAAAGATACTTTGTAATCAATCTACGTTATTATCTCTTTAAATATTTGAAAGTTGGCTTGCTTTTCGCATTCTTTCCGTAACTGTGTTTACTTACGAGCTCGACGCAGTCAAAAATGTTTCAAAATTGGCCCAAGAATGTTGTGCGAACAATGATTCTAACGAACTTTATCCTCTGGACAAATTCTTCATAAATTAATTCGCTCGCCTTTCTGTGGTGCATTTACTTTAAACTTTTAGGACCACTGGTCCTTAAGTCCTACAATTATTAGTGTAAAATGAAAAAGGTCCGTGAAGCTACGAGTGGAAGCAAGATATAAGAGTAACGCCAATATTTCTATCTGCCAATAATATATCTCAAGAAATTGCCAGATCAGCCAGAGCAAATTGAGAAAGAAAAGCATAGATTACGATACATATATTGTACGAGACGCTTGAAAAGATAATAATGAAAATAGTAGAGTGCATGGACTATGTGAATGTGCCCTGAGCTGAACGGTCAACATTTTTTAGGTCACGTAATGTCCAAATTGAAAATCAAACTTCTCATCTATCAAGATCAAGTAACTTCCGTCAGAGTTCACCGTAACCATAACATAACAAATATAATTGCATGGAATAGATTCTACCAAGGTCCAATTATTTTATATGCTGTAGGCGAAGCTGATGACTGTCGTTGGCTAACGTAGACACAATGAATATGATATTCCAAAAATATAAACG